CTGAACTCCGTCAGCCATGAGTCAGACGAGGATTTGCTGGAGGAATCCATCCCAGAAGAGCCGTCCCCGCCGGGTGCCGCTATCGTGGTGCAGAGCTATCGCCCGGCGCAGGTGACCTGGAGCCAGCTCCCGGAGGTAGGGGCACCAGCCCAGCCCGCAGGGTCCGAAAAGCCCCGCTCGCCCTCACCACGGGCTGCTCCCGTGCTCGTGATGTGTTGCAGCCAAAGCTGAGTGTATTTTAAAAGCTCTCTGAGCTGCCAAACGAGCCGTGGGTGGGTAATTCTGCAGCGTTAGTCTTTGCAACGGGGTGTTCTGCGGCTGTCCGGCCCTGGCTGGGACACGCAGGTTCCTGTCCAGGCTCGTTGGGATGCCGGTGGAGCTGCTGTGGTTGTCCTTGTGAGAGGTTCACCCGCAGACGGTGGAATGCAGATGCTCCTGCTGGGTACCTGGGCTTTGCCCTGGGGGAGAGTGATCTCCTCCTGCAGAGTGGCATCAGCTAACCGCCGTGGGCTGCAGAGCTGTGGGAGATGGGGCTGCGGTGGGAGATGGGGCTGCGGTGGGGCCTGGCAGAGCCCCGGACCGCACTAGAGGGCGTGCAAGGACCATCAGTCGGGCGAAGGCGGTGGCTGATCCCGGTCTCTCGCCTGCAGGTGCTGGACTCGGGCATCCTGCAGAAGATCTCCCCTGAGGAGCGCAAACGGCAGGAGGTGAGAGGAACCTGCGATGCAGCGCGGACGCCGAGGGCAGTGGGGACACGCGTGGCTGTGCCCGGGACTTCTCGCGCAGGGCTCAGCTCAGAGCGGGGCTCTGGTTTATGGTGCTGCTCTGGGACTGGGCAGCTCTGGGAGGGCTCACCCACACGTCTCGGTGGGGAAGCAGACAACTCCTTCAGATGCTGCTGGGAAATAGCCACTGAAGGGAAAACATCTTAGTGCTGTGGCTTATTAATGCCCGAGCGTACTAAAACATGCTGAAGTTACTGGTGTAGGGCAGGCAATGCATGAGATGGTATGGGGAATGCTCTGTTGGAGCAGAGTCACTCCAGTGGCTCTGTGCCAACTGAATGTCAATAAGATATAACAAGTTTTAATTCACTGCCTTGTTTAGTCAGTTTGTGCTGTTCCAGCTTCCTGCCCTGCTCTTTACAGGCAATGTTTGAGATCATCACTTCTGAGTACTCCTACATGCACAGCCTGAGCATCCTGGTGGGCAACTTCATGAGGTCGGAGGAGCTGAAGGAGACCATGACTCAGACGGAGCACCACCACCTCTTCTCCAACATCAGCGACATCCTGACGGTCAGCACGAGGCAAGTGGGGTTCATCAGTGTGGGGCTGGGACCAGGCGGGCCCGGGGGAGGGACTCTGGAGCTCCGGTTATTTGCCTTGTGAAAACAACCATCCCTGGGATTTGCTGAAGGTACTGAGTCATCCCACCTCTTGCCCTCCTTCCTGGTGCCTTGTGTCATGGCACGCTCCCCTGCAGTGGCTTCCTGCTGTTACATACTCGGGACCTGAATGTCTCGTGAAAGATGTTCTTTTACCCTGACATCCTTTTTTTTTAATGGGTTACAATGGTGGTGCTGCCATCGGGCACCGAAAGCTGTCTGAGCCCCTCTCCCCAGGCTTGGGACACTCCTGCTTGCCTGGAAACTCCTCCTTGGGTGTCCTGGCGCTGCCACGAAACTGAAACTGTGCCTTCAGAGAGCCAGCATGAGCGTGGCCTTTGCTCCCCGGGCGGTGGGGAGCAAACACCTCGGGAGCTGGTGCTTGGGGCGGCCGGCGAGCCGTGTCGGCGTGGGAAAGCAGCAGGAGGAGCGCGCAGGCAGGGCTGCGGCAGGGCTGGGAACGGCTGCGGGGGCGTTGAGGGCTCGCGGCTTCCCGCAGCTGGGCAGAAGCGGCCCTGATGGGGCAGAAACAAACCTTCCCGGAGAGCTAAAGCGGAGGAGGGGTCTCGTGCAGGAACGGAGGAAACGTGTGCGTCCGGGGGCCGGGGAAGCTCGAGGGCTGCGTCCCCCATCTCTGCAGCGGAGCTGGTGGGAGCCGCGTGGGTGTCCCAGCTGCGTGGAGCTGAGCTGTGCAGAAGGGATCCAGGGCCTCGTCTCCTCTGGGAGGACCGGGGGAAAGTTGCAGTGGGAAGATTGCTCGGTTTGTCCGGCCCTAATGAGTCATGTAGTGAAGTTATTTGCAATTCTCTCCTTAGCTTCTTTGAAGACTTAGAGAGGCGCCACCAGGAAAACTTCCTAATTCCTGACATCAGTGACATAGTGGAAGAACACGCCTTGAACCACTTCAATCCTTACATCAGCTACTGCTCCAACGAAGCCTACCAGCAGAGGACACTTCAGAAGCTGCTGTGAGTACTGCTGCGCGCTCCGGCCTTGGGCTTGCCAGGGGGTGGCCTCCCGGGGGGCTCTGGGCCACGGGGATGGACGCCAGCTGGCTGCGGACAGGGCAGACGGGACCGTGACTTGCCCGGGGCTCCCCCGGCTTGCGGTTGTTTCCTTTTCCCTAAGGAAGGCTGTCTCCTTTCTGAGCAGAGCTCAGCTTCTACGCCTCCGTGTGGCTGTGTCGGGTGATTAGGACGTGATTTGTGTCGTGCACAGAGAAGGGTGAAGGACGGGGATAAGTGGGGGTAGTGCTACCACATGCTGAAGGTAGATGGGTCTTGCCAAGGTCAATAACACATACGTGGTGTGTTCGGGACACGTATGGCAGCTGTTCATCTCCAGGTCGTACTGGTGGTACAGGTCAAGTTTGTGTCCGCTGCTGGTACCTCTATGGCTTTACCCACCTTTTGGTGGACTCAACATCTCTCGGTGCTTTTCCACCACCCGCTGACGACCCGGTCCCTTTTCCGCCCCAGCTGGGCGCTCTCAGCTCAGCAGACTGCCGTTGGGCACTGCGTGTCTCGGGCGGGGAAAGCTGCTGGAAAAATCTTGATAACGGAAGAACAGAGTTAATGGAGCTTTCTTGTCCTGTTCCAGAGCCACAAACCCCTTATTTAAAGAGACCTTGAAACAAATTGAAAGGAAACCAGAATGTGGAGGCCTGCCAGTGCTATCATTTCTCATTCTCCCTATGCAGAGGGTAACGCGGCTTCCCCTGCTCTTAGATGTAAGTAAGTGACACGGTGGCATTGCTTGGCGCCTCTGAAGAGGTGGCAGTGTTATACCCTTCTTTGGTTTGCTGAGCCCGGGACAGCCTTCTGCGTGGGCGTCCGTCCTCCTGGGAGCCGAGGCTGGGATGCCCGAGCCTGTGTTCAGGATTGAGATCCAGAGCGATCTGCTTCTTGTGGGTGTCGGATGTGCAGCTTAAAGCACTGTGAATAACGCGTGACATCTCGGCACCACCCACCTCAGTGACATGAGGTTCTTCTGTGCCCCGTGCTGCGTACCCAGAGCACGGTGGCACAAGCGTCCCGTTTGGTTTAACGATCAAGTGGCCCAGGAAGGGAAAGCAGGTTTTGCACAAGCGTCATTGAAATCTGGGACTTCTGGGCCAGCTGCTGTAAACAGCAAAGCTGCTGGAAATGGGGTCTCTAGTAACCGCCCCCGCTCTGGACTGGGGGGCAGGAGAGGGCCGGGGGAATGCCCGGTGCGCGGGGTGATGGTCAGGCACGTATCTGATGTGAAAGCTCCAGCAGAAACCAGATTCGCAGCCACCAGCACTGTTAAACCTCACTTTGTGCCTGTCCCGCTGCCAGGCCGACCATTGGGAACGGCTCAAGCGTGTCACGTCCCGAAATCCCAGGGACGCGGTTGATGCACAGTCCTCTGTCTTGCAGTATCACTAAAGCGTCTTATCTTGACCTTCTAGACTGTCTGTCAAAAAACAAAAGCATGCACTGCAGAGTACGGAGCTGCCACCAGAGCTCTGAAAGCCATCAGCAAGGTGAGGCCCGGCTGCCACCGTCCCTCCTTCCAGCGCACCGTTGTGTCACTCTGGCCCCGATCCTGCCCGTCCGGGCTCTCATCTTCCTCCCTGCGTCGGTTCACTTGGGATTTCTCTGCTCCAAACAGCTGCTGGATGTACACGTCTTCTCCCCTGCTCACCTTTTTCCCCTGATCTTGATTTTCCCTTTGTCTTGTCATCTTTTCTTCTTTCCTCTTCGACCCGTCTTTTGTCCTTCCCTTCGGTGTTATCTTCTCCATTAGTGCTGTCCCTTCTGAGAACCGCCCTCGAGGTGGTAGCGAGCTGTGACACTTGATTGCTGTGGTTTTTGGAGACTTAGGCAAAGAGCAGCAAACAAAGCAAAGAGCAAAGTGTAGAGGAGCGAAGGCGCAGTGGCGGTCGTGAGCTGTTCGTGCTCCCGTGTCTCATCTCCGTCTGCTTTCCCATCTGGTGGTCAGTCACACAAGGCGATGCACCACGGACATTATGGCCACCAAAGCGGCCGTGGTGGCTCTTCCTTCTGTCCCCCTAGAGCTTGGCTCTTGCCAACATGCTCCTGCCACTCGTGGTCTGTCCCGCTCACTCATCTGGCGGGGGAACAAAATGCACATCCCCCCCTGGCCGGGCCCTGCTGGACCCCCTTCCCCGGGCTGGGGGGCGGCTGGTGGAGCAGCGGCTGCTCCGGAGAGGCAGCGCAAAATGCAGCGTTGGTTCACCGGCCTGCAGAAGGCTTCTGTCCTCCCCTCCGCCCGTCCGATTCTTCATCCTCCTGTCTTAACCTCCGCTCTCCCGATGATTTATTCTTCCTCTTCGCGTTGCTGCACGGTGAAGCTCCTTCACCAGGCGGAGGAAACGTGTCGTCTGTCTCCTGGAGATCTCTCGCAGCAGGAGAACCTCCAGCTGCCTTTCCCCGAAACCTGGCTTGAAACCTGTGTGGGGACGCGGTGGTTTCTGCCGTGTGGGGAAGCGGGTGCCCGCCTGACCCTCGGTGCGGAGGACGGGTGGGCTCAGCCTCCTGCCATTCTCCGCTCCCCTCGGGGGGGTTCTCTTTTTCCAGCTGGTTAAGAACTGCAACGAGAGAGCTCGCGCTATGGAGAGGACAGAGCAGATGTACACCCTGCAGAAACAGCTGGAATTTGGAAAGAAGAAGGTGAGGTCTTGTGGAGGTGGCGGGGGGAAATCTCGCAGGGTGTGCTGTTAGAGTGGCCCGTCCCAGGCGTGCCCGACCCGGCCTGGGAATCCTCCCGGGAATCCTTGGCCAGCTGGAGCATCGCCGCTGCCGGGAGCAGCATCACCACCCTGTGCCCAGGGTGACCATTTTTTCTGGCTGTTCTTACTTAAATATAAGTTTGTAGGCGCTCGCCCTGCCGGCGTGGAGAGTTCAGCAGAGTAGTCCTGGATAATCCACGCTCCCTCACAACCCTTCGTTTTCTCTTCTGCCGCGCTCTGAGCTCTCATCTCCTGCACATGGGTGGTGGAAGCTGGACTTGCCTCGGCCAAGAGGTTTTACCTGGGCAGCGATCTCTGCTCTGGCTGTCTTGTTCTGGACAGAGATGAGCCTCCGTCTGTCCGTAAGGACTGTCAGATGTGGGCAGCTTTCTAAGGGGCTCTGGTAAAGCCTTGACGTTGTGCCCCACTGCGGCGGTTCGGGGGGCTGCGTCTCCGGGGGTGCTGGAGCAGGGTGCTGGGCTCCGCTTCCCCGCCTGCCTCCTGGACAGTCTCCCGGGAAAGATGTTTAGGAGTGTGTGATGTGTCCATCCCCGCTGACCCCAGGGTCCGCAGCAAGTTCACATACAGGTTCTGAACTTGACTTTGCCGGCAGCTTGTGAGAGAGGTAGTAAGGCAGTCTTTCCCTGGATCCCTTTCAGCCTTTCCCGCTGATTTCTGCTTCCCGCTGGCTGCTGAAGCGGGGGGGG